TTCGGTATATGTAATCGCAATACCTGAACATTGAGATTGGCGCGACGTTAGTAGAATATCTGAATATTATAAATATAATATAATAGTAGAACTTCCATATAACGGTTACCGAAGGGATTGTAAATAATTACCGCTATTTAGAGGTGCCCGTCCTACAGAGGTGACTTTTCAGGTGACCATTATATAGAGGTTATACAAATTTTAAAAATAAAACACCAATATTAAAATAACGTATAAGAATATGGGTATTAAAAATTGTATTTATGATTTACGAAATAATGTAGGTAGGTAGGTACAGTTTAAAATTAAAGAAAAATCTCATAAGCTTTTATAAATATTAAAATTAAAAAAATTAATTATATTAGTTTGTTTTAGATTTATTTGATTATTTGAACAATTTTTTTCAAAATAAATTTCTGCGGTTTTAAACATATTATAACCATCTACGTTACATTTTTGAAGAGTGAAAGCTAATAATTGTTTTATATGAGTTAAAACCTCAGGATAGTTTAATACAGTGTACTCGGGTTCTTCAGTTTCTTCATGTTATCGTTTGAACACCAATGATAAAACACACAGTCACAGACAAGTGTTATCGCCTTATTGACATCATAAATTAAGCTCCTTAAGATGAACTGTCAAAAATAATTTCCATTTGATATACTTTTAAACGTTGATCGTTAATTAGAGTGCCCGCTATTTAGAAGTATTAATGAATTTTTCCTATAACACTCGACGGGACCAAACAAATTGACCGTTACTTAGAGGTGACATCCTATAGAGGTGACCGTTAACGGAAGTTTTACTGTAATATTGTAAGATGGTGTAGGTATCTCTCACACTATTCAACTTATTAATCAATAAACTAAATTATTTAAAAAAAATTTATTTCAACATTTTTTATAAATTTTCAGAAAGTATAGATAGGTTAACTTCACTAATTTACGACTCACGCCTCTTTTTGTTCTTAAAACCGCCCCATCTAATAAAAAAACTTGATTTAGATATAATACACATCAATTACCTAATATTATTATCATTTTAATAAATTTAAAAATGTAATGAAAAATCTATAGTCAACAAATTATTAAAAATAATAGAATTATGAATATATTTACGAATTTAGGAGGGGGTTCGAACTTCGAACTCCCAAGTTCGGCTTGGCGTCGAAACAGTAGCGACGAAATGTCCTAGACCCCTTCCCAAGCACAGAGAGACGCTCTCGAGCACGAAATAATATTTTTGTGTCAAATCGTTGAGAACGATAAATAATGCGAGTATCTATAATGTTAATTATTATAATACAGATAATAATATTATAAAGGTACTAATAAGTCGTTTTGGCAATTACATATTCCCAGAAAAACTAATATATAAATATAATTTACGCCGTACGTCGATACAATATCCGATTATCGGATTACATAATATTATAGTGATGATGATAATGACAAATAAGAAGCAGGATGTATAATATTCACTTAATATTATGTGCACGATACTGTCGATACTACAATAGATAATAATCGAATGAACCTTCATTTCGTTGCAGACATATTAATTGGTCAAAGTGCAGTTGATTGTGTCTCGTAGAAGTCGTAGAACTGTTCGTACTTTCTATATATAGGTACATACAGTAAAAATTGAATCTGGTTCTCGACTTGATGTTTTAACAGTATATTGTCAAACAAAATAAAATGTATTTTGAATTTGGCCATTATATATATATATATATATATATATTATAAAACGGATGATAGGTAGTGTCTATTGCGAATAAAAATTAATTTTACCATTATCGGTCAGTTGCGATAGTGGGAATAGGGAATAGTTTATTATAACAACTCGACTGTCAACTTTTTTTCTTTTATTTTTTCTTATCAAACAAATTTCTTTGATTTTAGGTCTCTAGAGACTTGAAATTTCGAATGTAGCTCACTTAATTAAAAAGTTTGGCGACCCCTGGTGTATGCCCCATAGATATGCGATATTTTAGATTTATGAGAAGCGAAGAATATTATATCTTACAATTTTTATTCTTAAAAAATTGGTTTTTCATAAATTAATCTTTTAAGATAGGAAATCTCATCCGTATATGTTATCTCCGTCTTAGCAAATTTTCGTTCAACAGAATCCATTTTGTGTTGTTAGCTTTAACATTCGAGTAAATTTACCTATTATCAAACTTAAAGATACGAATTTTATTTAGGCCATTACATAGGCTTTTATTAAATATTATAATTTAAAGTGAGTTAAGAGCATTTTAAAGTTTTTATATTTTATATAGTAATAATTCAGTTTAAAATTAAAATATCAATAGAAGCCTATGTGATGGCCTAAATAAAACTCTAACCTTTAAGTTTGATAATAGGTAAATTTACTCTAATATTAAAGCTAACAACATAAACGAAAATTTGCCATGTTGTACGTATGTAAGATGGAGAGAACACATGCGGATGTGTCGTCCTTTTAAAAGCTACTCCAACAGCATTTTTATATAGTTACTTAAGACACAATAATTTACTTTTCTCATAGACATTTTAAATTCTAATATACACAAAAACTTAAGATTTTTCCTTTATTGTTTTTAGTTACGAATATTATATGTTGTAATTTAAAAAATATTAATTGTGGAGGTTTGTATATTTTGCACTAACGTATGAACTGGTGTTGGCAATGTTTTTCGTTGTAAATTAAATTTTTTACAAAATAACGGAAATTAGCATATTATTTTTAAAAGTACTAAAATATGCATAATATTTTCAATTCTTCTACACGCAAAAATTAAAAATTTAATGTATACCATTAAGTTTCTCAAGAGTTGTTCTGACAGTAAGTTTTTTCAAAAATATAAATGCACTATTTTTTTTATAGTCATTTCAAAATAGAATTTTTGTGAAATTCAAACAAAAAATTATGATTTTACTGATTTAATTATAATTTCAAAAATATTCGTAGAGAATTTATTAACCAGCACCTATTTTTTGTATATCTACTATTATTGACTTTACACCATACAATTTTCAAAATATTTAGAATAATTTTAAGCTATTATATTTATACCACAAATTTATTCATATAGGTTTACCTATAATAAGTCACTATTTAGTATTTACTTATAAAAATATATAATAATAACAGATAAGAATAATTATTATAACATCATAATATAGACATGCGATTAGCTATCGTAAACAATTACTTCTTTTCGCTCTTTTAATATTGATAAAACCGATGACAATTATAGGTATAAATATATAATAAATATAGACTATCTCTGCTCAGCATAGTATATTCAATGATATACGTATCATTGAATTCAAGTTTAACGAATTCATTCCATACCAACTCAATAATGAGTATAGATTTCATTAGATATTATACAACATGATTCCTCGATTTGTAAATTTTCAAATCGGTATTTTTTTATTTTAGTTTATGAGTTCGATAATTCGATGGTTTACTAAAATTGTTAATATTTTTGTTTAGATTTCTTGTATTTTTTTAATTAGTTATATAAAATATACTTAATATCATAGTTTTTATATTTCAATTAGTGTATTGAATTTTAAAAAATCAAAAAAATGTAGAAGCCGAGCTCAAAAGAGTTTATGGTGACTAAACCTAATATTCGTTTAAATTCATTTTATTTGCTTCACCAAATAACATTAATCTGAATAATTTGTAGTTTTGTACGCACAAATTTTAGAAACTATTTGACAGATTTCCATAAAAGCCATATTAATTCGCTCCTTGAGACTTAAGGAATGCTTTTACCTTTGAACTTCTTTTTTTAAGCTTATCTAAGTGGTTCTATAGGTGTTTGTGAATCTCATTTTAATTCACAAAAACAAATGTTTTGCTTATATAATTATCAACAGGGTCGCTATTGATTAAAGAATTTTAAAAAGAAATGTTATAAACTAGTCAAGCCACTAACCTAATCCCAAGCATTGCCATAGGATTTTTTTTTAACTTAAAAAAAGTAATTGTTTATTATTCAAATGAACAATAAAAAGCAATATCTTTATACTTTTAGTTTATATACTCAAAAACTATTCGACCAATTTTAACAAAGTGGCAAAACGCACTGTAGTATTACATTTTTTTTTTATTTAATAATAGCATAAAGCAAATTCACTTAAAAATAATTACAGTTGAATAAATTTCATACAATCATTTATTTCTATTAAGACAAGCTTTCATTTTTAGCAACATTTATAAAAAAAATACTTCCTAATTTGATCTACTAATATTTAAAAATCTTACCTCAAGTCGATGTCCATGTCAACCACACAGATGAAAGGTTACCAGAACACTATTTAAGTCTTAACTATATTAATTAAATTAATAATGTAAAAAATAAAATATTTATTAGCTTAATTTTTTTTTGATAAAAATATTGTAACCATAAATTTTAAAAAGCTTTATGTTTAAATTAAGCCCTCAAGATTTTATGATATACTTCTGGATTGCATACCGCACACCACAATGGTCAAACATTATTCTGAGAATGAGCTGCAACCTCAAATAAAAGTAACAAATGACTAGCGCTCCGGGTGTGTTTTAAACGTACTATGTAACAGTGTTATTGTCTTACTAATATAAAATTATGGTAAATGTAAACTATTAATTATTGAACCATTAAAAACTAAGATGATTAAAAATGTAAAACTATCCAAAATCAGTAAAATCTTCTTATTGAAAAATAAATAAATTTCATAAGATAGAAAGTTTATTTTAAGAAATTAATTATAATTAAAATAAGATATTTTCAAATACATGTTCATTTACATGTACTAAATGTTATCATGATGTGTATTTAAGTTTATTCATGTCTGATAAATAAATAAGTTTTGGGAAGTTATTTATTTTAATATAGTATATCATAAAATAGTAATTTGTTAAGTTTCTCTTTTATACCAGGTTTAATTTTGAAAAATATGATAACTAATAACACTAAATTGTTGAAAAAAAATTAATAAATTTTGGAAGAAAATAGTTGTTGAAATACATTATACAAAAAAAAAAAAAAATTATAAACTGCATTATTTTGAAATCAGTAGAATAGCTGTTATCTAATCTGCGATTTTGGCAACTGGATTGATCAATATTGGAATATATGCCCATTTTTAATTTTCAGTAGTCTTACCCTGCAAGCAAATAAATATATGACAATTCAATTAAAATTTATACTTAAAATATTTATGTATAAAAATATATATTTAGGTAGTAAATGAATATATATTTTGTCTTAATAATATAGTAAACTCAGGCAATAGGAAAAACTAATTAGTAAAAGTTGAAAATATTTGGTCGTCATATCATCATAATATTGCAAGTCCATCATTTGAACCAACTTAACAATAAACATGATATGCCAGATTTTGGGATATAAAATACATTATGTTTGTTACAGTATAATCTTTAATTAAACAATATTTTATTTTATTTTATTTTTTCATTAATTATACATTAATTTATTTTACACAAAAATGTGGCGTTGCATAGATTATTGTATTTATTTACTTATAAAAGAATAAAAAATTATTTTATTTTGCTTTAAGTTTAATAATAACAATACATAAAAGAAAAAAATGTTGTAATTTTTATGTAATACCTAATTAATAAAAGTATTAATCATGTGGTATATTTTGCTCATCAACACAAAAATAATTTTATTCCGAGCTTATTTATAGCATTACAAACATCAAAGTTGACTAATAACGATTTCTAATTATTATATGTATTATAATTCATAAGGGAAAATTAATCAGAAAATAACTGAAAAAAATTATGAAACAAAATAAAACAAGATAAAAAGAAAGTTGAGTGTACAAAAGACACCACTGCATGTAGATAAGATTTAAAAGACATAAACTTCCCATGACCTACCAAAATATGGTTTGAGAACCATCAGTGGGTCATGATCCAATTTAAAAAAGGCTTAGGATTTTTTATATAATAAAGTAGGTAGCAATATAGTCATTACTTGTTTTGTTTAAAATTAAGTTGATTATCCTATTTTTCTTGAGTTTTCATAAACATTCGTTGTGATTAAGTGGAACAGAAAGTTCTTTCCTTTTCAAATTTTCAATAAATCCAATTCTTAATGTGATCTAACAGTCATCTATAATGTTTAAATGTTTTAAAATTTTAATGCATTTTAACATTAATTGTTAATCTATGTTTAAATAATTACTTATAAATTTGTTAGAAGATCCATATTCCACGATATATTCAGGTATCAAATAACATAAGTACCGTAAATTTCAGTATTTAAAATTGTGTATCTTGTAGTTGCCGTAGTTTACTTCAGTTTGTAGTTCTATATATTATTGGATATCATGCAACTAACCACATTCTGGAACATTGATCAATTTCTTTATGACAGAGTAAATACATAATATACAAACATAATTTATATGATAATCAATTAGTTATTACTTTATAATTAGACTACCAGTATAAGATTTATCTTGGCATTAAAATACAAAGTGATACTGTAATATAATTTGCAACTATTTTAAGTTTGTGTACATACATATATGTAAAATATTCATTTTTTAATTTTCAACAGATATTAACAGAACATTCACTTTTTTTGTTTCTATATCTTCCATGTTATGTTTGTAGAGTAGAGTTTAATTTTTATTACATATTAAAATATTGTCTCATTATATACTTAAATTATAAAAAAAAAAAAAAAACAATATATTAGGTATGCCTGAATTTACACTCAGTTAAAGAATTTTACAATTTTACAACACATTATTTATACCTAAATGAAATGCTCAATTTTTATAAAATATATAGTTTAAATATGATATTGTTGACTAACTGAGTGGTATGAAATAGAAAGCATTGATGTAGCTAAGGTCTTGTTTTATGGAGGGGCCTAAAGTTATGATAACTTTTTTTAAACTTTTTGTATGAATGAAATTTATTACTGTAATAAAAATTAGATCTTTTCTTTTTTGGGTATGATTTACAAAAGTTGTAGAGCAAAAATTTCACACCTGATAATAAGTATTATAAATTGATGCTATAGTGAAATTCCATGTCTGAAGATAGCTCTAGCAGGTATAAAATCTTGACGTCCTTACTGCAATTAAACTTGACAATTTCATAAATGTATAGTTGAATTTATTTAGCGTCTGTAAAGATATAGTTTTCATGACTCCGGTATGGTCTAGTGGCTAGGATACCTGGCTTTCACCCAGGAGGCTCGGGTTCGATTCCCGGTACCGGAATATACTTTTTGCATTTTTTTCCCATTGCTATCTATACTAAAACAAATATTATTCTTTATTATTTATTAATAAAAAAATTAGAATTTTAAACAAAAAAGTTATAATAGATCCATATTTAATGTTTCTCTTTGATTCCATTATACTTAAAAAGAATCTTATAATATTAAATTTTAAAGCTAATTGACAATAGTAAATTTATTATAAATAAAGTACCTAAGTACTGTATATATTTAACTCTTGATTCTACAAAATACTAACTAGATTTACTTTTATATTACTTATCAGAAAAGATATTAAAGTAATAAATGGAAATTTTTTATATCATAAAAAATATTTTTATATACAAAAATATAAAATGTAATTTAAATTTGATAGTTTTAATTTTTAATATAGTTATGGGTAATGTATATATTTGCAAATAAAAAATATTATAATATAATAAATCTACAATATTTTAATTTTTATTAAAAATAATTCACAGTGGGCTTTACAAAAGAAGAAACAATAACATATTATTTACAATCACTTTGATTAAATATATTTTTTTCTTCTCCGTCTCTAATTAAATATAATGTAAAATTAGGGTATATTAAATGTAAAACATCTAAAAATTTAGATTTAAATGATTTAATACATAAGTTAAAATGATTATTTTTATTTAAAAACTGAGTATTTATAATTATAATGTTTTACTAGAATTATTAATTATTATTATAAAGAAGTTTAAAAAATTAAGCATATAAAATATAGTTTTAAACAATAATTAAAAAAATTGCATTGATATTAGGTATAATCAATTACACAACTGTTATGAAAAACTGATCCAATGATGGTTTTACCTTCTTTCAATGTAACATACAAAAATAATTTGTCATCTAAAATAATTAAATTTCAGATTGGGATAGAAATGGAGTGTTTCCATAGGATACACTCATCTAATATCAGGCAAATAAAATTTAAAAAAATTAGGAAGTAAGTTGATCCCTCATAAACCTCCTATTATATGCTTGCCTACCTAATATCTAACTATTTATACTGTTATTATAATTACATTTCATCACTTTTACAAGAACAATAAAAATGTTCTTGATAATTGAACATTGTAACTATAACTAGTGTGAAAATATTTTTTGAAACAAATAATCTTAAATATTATTCGTTAAAAATATATTGAACGAGTTGCTAGTAAATTTTATTTCATCTATAAGTGACATAAGCAAGGTAATTTGATTTATTAACTATAAGTGAAATATTTTAATAATTTATTTATAATCTAAATAAATATGTACTTAAACACTAAATTAAAAATATGTAGCTCAATGTTACATAATAGGTAAATGTCCATTAAAAACATGCATGTCTTTAATTTATTCAGAGTAAAAAGAAAAATTAATAAATATACAAATGAATTTTTATAGTAGAACACTTTTTGAAATAGTAGGTAAGATTGTATTAAATGTTTTATGAAATTCTTTCCATAAATTGTTTAGTTTACTCCGATTCTTATGCTTAAAATAATAGCTTAAATGTTGCATGATTGTGCTCTCACTAGTGTAAAATGTAATTAATGTTAATAATAAAACTCATAATTATTAGATTAACTGATTTTTGGGCCAATTTTTTTAACAAATGAGTATATAAATATCATAAAAAAATACTTTAGATTAAATGTATTTACAGCCGACATACAATGCTTAAGAGGACATTGTAACCGCATGTGTTGTCTCCATCTTACACACGTACGACATGGTGAATTTTTATTCACCAGTTTCAATAGTGTGTTTTTAGTTTTAATATCAAGTGGATTGACCTATTATCAAAATTTTAGTTAAGAACATTACATATATTCTCTCGCTGATTTTTACAATATTTTAATTTTTAAGTGAGCTATGAGCATTTTTAAATATTTATATTTCCCATACTTATAACTCACTTAAAAATTGAAATATCATAAAAACCAACAAGAAAACACATATTATGTTCTAAACTAAAAGTTTGATAATAGGTCAATTCACTTTTATATCAAAACTAAAAACATACAATTGAAACTGTTGAAAGAAAATTTAATATGTTGTACATGTGTAAGACGAAGACAACACACGCGGGTGCAACGTCTTCTTTAACACTTTAATACAGTACCTATATTGTGGTTAAACATATTAAAATAGTTTGATTTTATACTTATAATAATACTTTTTAAAAATGTTATTCACAAAATTCATTCATGTAAATTAAAGAACATAATAACTATCAATAATTATTACATTTCATGTTTAGTCGTAAATTAATATAAGACTTTTAAGTTTTATTGACAAACACTTACCTATATTAATGGGTTCTTAAATAATGATCAAGATGTGATTATACATTTTCTTGATTATTATAACAAAATAAAAAAAAAATTATTCTTAAAACACTGACTTTTAAGGTCTTTATGCAAGTTTCAACATTTTAAATAAATAAACTTAATCAGTGGCTAACCAGGAACGGGTTTCTAGTGTAGAATTATTGTCAACAAAATTAAATACAAAATTTAAATGAAGCGAGCATTATGTAGTCTAACAATTTTTCTTAAACTTGCTTATAATTTTAATCACTAGTAAAATTTGTAAACAATTATAATACAAAATAATTAATGAAATACTAATGATAAGAGAATTTTTTTAACTTATCACGGACCCTATGTAATTTAAAATGCATAAAACTTCTTACTAACTTAGATATTATAAAAGACATAAAAATCTAGTACTCTAAACATATCCATGGACATAATCGTTACTAATGCTAGGTTACATAAACAATCAATAAGCAATTAATGAATCAATAGAATGCTAATGACCCCTTAAATAAATAAAGTGGCTCTGTGGTTAGTTGATAAAAATGTATTAAATTATTAATGATTAAATGAATTAACATGTTAAGCAATCGAGCAAAAAGTTGACAAGGCGAGTATTGTTAACGGAAAAAAAAAAAAACAAACCGCAGACAGCCGCCAACGTGTTTTGCGGGATAAGCCATAGATTAGTATATTATGTAGTGTAGCCGCCATCCAACCATTACACAGTTTCGCGCGCACTGACACGCCGGTGAATTTAAACAAGACAATCATAAGATGATAGTACTATCTTAAAACGTGCTTACAGCATGTATTTTTGTGATAATCTGTTAACATAATATACTGTTTTTTATTTTTTTTTTTTTGATAGTAGTTGTTACTGTTGTTAGTTAAATCATGGTCGTTATGATTTGACGAGTTTAAACGGTACAGACGACTGACGCAAAGTGAAAATGTTTTAACCACAATTACTGATAGTTGTAAAAAAGAGTGTACTGTGCTTAGTTCAAATTTTTGGTGAATACAAATAGTTTATATTTGCATTTTTATTATCATATAATATAGCGTTCGGTGTACAAAATAATTTTGATAACGAAAGTCATACTATATACCTATTGTAAATTTGTTGTGAGTTGTTAACGGTTAATCGCCGGTGTCTAAGTTCGTGGATTATAAATTAAAAACTATATTTATTAATTTAACGTACAAAAAACATACTATTTAATATGTGCTCTCTAAGAGATTTTCCTGAACTACAGGATTACAGTCTCACAGATAAGACTGTATCCATGCCATTTGTCATTAAAAGAGTGAAACCCGAGGTTGGTATATTAATTCTATTTTTTTTTTTTTTGTATAGTTTTGAATTATGTTATAGATTTAACCAATATTGACAACAGTTGTAATTGTTTTTTATTAAATAATTGTATTTCTAATGATATCCTTGTTGGAAACCAAGGAACTTAAAACAAAAGAAAATTGAATAAGTTATTATTTATCCAATTTATGTCTGAAAAACATTAATTAACTTCTATATTTATAGGCAATTAATTACCCAAATATTGTGGTGGAATTAAAAGGAGATCAAAATCCTGAACCTTTATTTTTACCAACTTCAGGACTAACAACATTACAACAAATTTTAAGTAAATTGTAAGTGCATTATTAAAATATTTTAAATAATAAAAGAAAATATTTATTTTGTTTGACTATGTATTTTATTAGTTAATTTTGATAATAGAAAATAATATATATTTTTAATATCTGGTTTGTTTTGTTTGTGCAGTAGTGAGGAAAGTTTCTGGACTGCTTGTGATGAACTGATAAAATATTTTAAAAAAAATCCAAGTTATTTATCAGTTGTTATGTATCCTTTAGCGCTATTTATGAAATTTTCTCCTCGTGCAAGTTTGAAGGTAACATATTATATAAATAATAAGCTTTTAATACATAAATACTCCTTAACTTCCTTTGAAGTCTTGATAGATTTTTAACATTTATTTGATTAATTAATTATTAGTATAAACAAGACAATAAATTATTGTAATTAAATTATGTGAAATGTAAATAATCCTTAATTATATTTACAAATATTTACGTATAAATAAATGCATGAAATATTATTATTTTATAACTTACACATTAATTTATGATTATTTTAAAATTTTATATTATTATTTAAGGGCCCAGAAAACTTGGTGTTAACAGATATAAGTAGAACAAAATTATGGTCATCTAGTGTAGTGCGTTGTATGTCATGGCATCCTCAAATAACTAAACTTGCTATTGTTTCTTCCCATGATATTGTTTATGTGTACAACCGAAAAGGTTCTGAAGCAAAAATAAAGTGGAAATCTCAAAATGCCATTTTATCCTTAGCTTGGAGGTACTTTAACAATTATTTATTTATTAGCATTTTATAGTTGACTATTTTTATTTTAGACCACTAAGTGTTGGTACTTTAGCAGTTGGATGTGAAAAAGGAATTTTCATCTGGACAATTGAGTTTAGTAACATACATGTAAGACCAACAGTAAATAATGTTTGCAAATTTATCAGAGATGATCATAGATATATTACTGGATTATCATGGAATAAAATGGTAATTTCTACTTCGACTTTGTTATGTACTATAATGTAACCTTCAGTAACTATTTATATATATTTTGGATTATCAAAAATATTTTGATAAACTAATAAATTTAAATGCCATAATGTATTTTATATTAAATTATTTCATAATTTTAGACATTGTTTATTATTATAATTTTTATAAAAAGCAGTGGCAAAATATTTAATTTTACATTTTTATTTAGGGTGATCTTTTGATATCCAGTGCAGTGACATCTAAAACAATGTATATTTGGAATTATTCTTTAGAAGCCTGTGTTCCATTACGTAGAATTTGTTCTGACACATTAAACTTTGTTCATTGGTCGCCTGATAATACTAAAGTTTTTTCCTGTTCAACTAATGATACATTTAGGTAATACTGGTTATTTTTATTTTATTTTTTTAAATTTTTGATTATTCTATTTCAATTTTTTTTTTCTTTAGAATTTGGTCAACTGATAATTGGACTTCAGATAAATGGTCTTTAAATAACCGATCTAGAGTACAATGTGCATGTTGGTCACCTTGCAGTTCAGTTTTATTATTTGCAACTGATTCAAGTTCAATTATAAATGCTATTGACTTTCGAAAATCAGATGTGTTTAATGGATCAATAAATTACAAAAAAGTTGCATGGCCTATTGTTGATATCAAAAGTGAATGTATAAATGATAAAGTGTGAGTAATTAATTATTAATTTGTTTAACATCTTATATAAGAAAATACAAACTAGAGTTGTTATATGTTTTAAAATTAATTATAATATAAATTGTTTACAACAACATTTAAGGTATTAGTCTAAAATGATGGTATCCTATTAGTCATGCTATTTTGCTAAACAATGTTTCTCTAAAAATATAAGTTAAAAATATTATAGTAATTTAATGTTTACATATTTTATATGTAGAGTATATTCGTGTTTAATAATTATTATAAATGTTAATAAAAAGAATTTACTACTTGGTAAAATAGGTCCATTTATAGGAATATTATTTAATTGCTAGTTTTTGATCCTTATTAACCTATTAAACTTATTAAATATGATAATATTTTGATACAAGTATATGAAAATTATATGCTAGAAACAACTTTTTAAAATTAATCTTTGATTTCGTTCTAGTCCTAAAAAATTAGTGTATTAGAAATGAGAATTATATTATTGTTTTTTTTCATTATTTTGATGTCTCAATATAATATACATTTGATCTTCAATAGAAAATATTTTAAATGTATTAACTATTACTTGTTTTAAAAAATAAATACATCATAAAAAAGATTGGATTATTCTCATTATATTTAGTTTAATATGATTAAACTTGCTTAATATTTTTAGTATTTTCAATAATCACTGTTTATTAAAATATACGCATGGCAATTTTTATTTTTGTAAAAGCTCCATCCTTTACTTATTGCATCAGATAATATTTTGTATTTTTTTTTTCAAAAATTTATTGCAAATATAATATTTATAATAAAAATTAAGATTATTTCAGATTTACCAAAAATACACTAGTACCGATAATACTGTTTATTCTGGAATTAAATAAATGTCATTTCAATATTTGAAATACTGCCAATCCTACCGTTGATATTTTAAATTTACACCAATTATAATATATATTATATTAGTATTTTCTGATTGACATAATATCATTTTTAAAATATTTAGACTAATTTTAAACTATTTAAACTTTAAACCATCAACTTTTATGTATATTTGTTCTATCTTATGTCAGTATTGTCTAATAAATTAATAACAATACTACATGATATACTATTTATAATGTTTTTTGCAAAAGTAGTTCAATATAAATAATATGTTAATAATGGAAAATTAATAATGATGTTAATGTAAATAAATTATACAATATAGAGGAGAGTACACAATTTCTACTCAAGATCGCATTTCTTATACAATGATTGATTATCGAGTTCTAGTTCAATACCTCTATTATTGTGATCTACTTTACAACCTGATTATTATTGATACTGGATCATGATTTTACAATTTTAATTCAATTAAAAAATGTTAGTTTGATAGATTTTGTATTATTAATTTAATAATAATTATTTTATTGAATATAAAAAAGTAGATATTCTATAATAAATTAATGTTTCAAAAGCAAGTACTTGTATAAAGGATAATACTGTTAACTTAGAATTGTATGTAGTAGAGACATTATATTAGCTTTTTGTTCAAAATACCTTTGTAACTTAATAATATGATTTAATTTTACTTCTTATGTTTATTTATTATTTAGAATTGGTGGAACACTTTCTGACATGTGCTGGGATCAGAATGCTCAACGTTTAGCTATAACTTTTAAAAATAGTGGGTCTTTAGTTGTATTCCAGACTGCTATAAGTGAAGCTGTTGTTGATTGTATTCCATTGTAAGTATCTAATTTTTGTGTTATTACATGTTTTGAATTTATCGTTAATCACATATGTTTTAGTTGTATTATTCAAGGGCGACTTGATGAGGAACCTTCTACGATCGCATTCCAACCAACTTATGAACAAGGGTCTTTGTTAACAATTGTATGTATGAATATAAAAAATTATATCTGAAGTCCATTCTTTTATTAATAAATATATATATATTTTTTTTAGGGTTGGTCGAATGGAAATATTGAATATGTACCATTTGAATATACTTGTAAACCAAAACATGATCCTGAAATGTTTGGAACAAATTTGCTTAGTGTTAATAATGATAAAAGTATCTCTGGTCGAGTAAATATGTCAACTACAACTAATTCATTGATTGAATATTTGTTAAATTAATTTGATATTTATGGTTTTTTCTTTATATTTATATTTTAATCTCAAGTGTAATAGAAAATTAACCAATATTATAATGCAATTTTTATGTTGATAAAAAATTAAATTCTCACCATATTTCTATTGTATATATTGAAATTTAATTTGAAAAAAACTAATGTTACAATTATACTAAATGGATGATGCAAATCAATTCACTTTCCTTGGTAAGAATTGAAACTACTTACTCCGTTAAGACACATTGATTAGTAAGACATTTTATACTTATCTGGAGTAGTATATTATATTTTATAAAATGTACTTAATTCAAATTTAAATATTTTACTTTGTCCTATAATAAAATTTTTTATTTACAGATTCATAATGAAATTATTTATTTGTTAGTCAAATTTTGTATTTAAAAAATAAAAGATGTAGGATATATATTTAAAAAATGCGTAGTTTATAATTATTTTTAATAACTAATAATAACAAAGTATTTTAATGCATTTTTTAATCCGTGAAGACTAAAGATATTTATCTGTAGTCTCCATGTTAAAATCAAATATCAATCTTATTTTGATATAAACATATGAAAATATTTAATACAAACTATTAACTGTTCTATTGGACATCAAGTGAGTTATGAGCATTTTGAAGTTTTCATATTTTATATAGCTATAACTCAATTTAAAATAATATCATTAATAAAAACCTATGTAATGGCCTAAATAAAATTTAATTTTTACCTTTAAGTTTGATAATAGGTAAATTTACTCCAATACTAAAATTAACAACATAAAATGGATTCTGCTGAACGAAAATTTGGTATGTTGTATGTAAGACAGAGATAACACATTCGGGTGTGGTGTGCTCTTAAGTTGTAGGTGTCGGGATTTGGAAAATAACTCAAGTCGCTTTAGTTACTGACACTTTATTATGTTGTAAAATAATAATTGTACATATAAAGATGTGCCGACGACGATCGTATTTCAGCATGAACTGATCTCACCCGCCGCTGGCCGGACCGGTCCCCGGTCGCGGACTTAGATAAGTAACCGCGATCGTTGCGATAACGACCGCGACATACTCCCCCCCAAGTCCACGAGACGCGACTGCCACCCTGATGGCTAGGTTGAAGGCATGGTGGCCGTCACCTCCATTTCCTCAATCAACTTCTCCACAGTGGCGAGCTGTACCTCTGGCATTGGTAATGTCGTTGGTGCTGGGGCCTGCATCACAGCTGTCGGCTGCTGCTGCTGCTGGGCCGGTGGTTGCGCCGGTGCCTGCTGCTGCTGCTGCTGCTGGGCCGGTGGTTGCGCCGGTGCCTGCTGCTGTTGGATCAGTGGTTGCGCCAGAGCCTGCTGTAGCTGGAAATGGCCCCGCCGGTCCCGCACGTCGTGGCGCTGGTACAATGATGCCAAACGCCTGGACGGCACCCATCCGGAAGTTCCAACTCTAAGTCTTATCTCATGTTGTGGGGTCGCCTCCCGCGCGGAGCGCCGTCCCTCGGTGAACCCCCGCTCGAATAGCGCCCACGCTGTTGGGTTAGCCCGAATTCGTCTGAACGACGCGGTTGCTGCACGTTCGGCCGACCAGCCGCTTACAGTGTCCTCCGGACCATCGTCCGACAACCTCCGAGCCTCCCGCAACAGCTGATCCGCCATTTTCCGGAGTTTCTCCACATGTGTAGCGAGCATCCCCCGGGATGGCCTGTGTTTGCGGGTCGAGGTCGGTTGAGTCACTCTGTCTGCCATCTGAAAATAAGTTATGGTTAGTTAATGTTCTCTTACGGTTTTACAGCCCGCTTCATTGCGGAGACATATAATTTGTTAGGGTGTTTACCCTCTGTCAAGAACACTTCGGTTCCTAGCCATTTATCTAACCTAACCGGTCCTAACCATTTCGGAGCGAACTCCGTATGAACCCGTTTCTCCATGCTTGACAGCGGATGCGCTTTATAATAGACCCAATCCCCTACTGACAGACGGGTTCTGTCCGGAGATTCTGGGTGTCTATAGGTTCTAAGTGTTTTCTAGCCGAACCCATTCGGGCGGCTCTTCATCTCTACGGGAGCATCGTCCGGTTCCACCGAATGCTAATCTGGACCTCATATGCATTTTTTTCTGGTATCTGGGCTGACAACACGTCAGTTACCCCAAACCGTACTGATCTAGGATCCATCTTTTCTTTAAATCAAATGTACCTACTCTTCTAGTGCTAGGAGTTTATCGGCCTTGGACCCTTCGGTCTCAATACCACGCTTCGATAATTCCCGGTTAATATCAATAATATTTAATTTAACAATGCATTTACTTGCCATTATGGTAATTAACTGTAATTACTTTTATCTATACCCGTAGCGCCGAGAGAGCGCAAATCGTCGGCGCATCCAAATAAAATCACTCCGCGGTTTCAAGGTCTAATTTCTCCTACTAAGTTGACTGGTTTAATTTAATTTAATTAACGATTAACGACGACGGTCGACGATGTGAGTCGATTATCCGACGGTGGGAGTCACGTTGGTGGGAGATGCGCGAACTACGACGAGTTTTGGTCGCCGCCATCTTGGGCTCTCTCGGCGCTACGGGTATACCTAATTAAATTATAATAGATACGAGATTAACTTTAGTTGGGATATCGCTGGTAGAGATACGTATTTTCCAACCTATGAATAGCCTAAATCAAATTTAGCACTGCAGGAATTACGCTAAATTTCGCAAATTCTGTCAAAATTTACTACCTTAAGTTAAACAAGTACTTAGTATTCTAATACACACAATTAAATCGAATATCTATTAGGAACCGGTATGTTCAGGACACCTATGTAGGTTCTTTTAACCCGATATTTGCTAAATTATTTTAATTTACGTAAAATTAATTTTTATTACAATTAGCACTTACCTTACTCCTTTTTCCGACTGCGCCAAATGTAGGTATCGGGATTTGGAAAATAACTCAAGTCGCTTTAGTTACTAACTGGACACTTTATTATGTTGCAAAATAATAATTGTACATGTAAAGATGTGCCGACGGCGACCGTACTTCAACATGAACTGATTTCGTCCGCAGCCGGCCGGACCGGTCCCTGGTCGCGCTCTCGCGGACTAAGATAAGTAACCACAGTTGTTGTGATAACGACTGCGACAAAATGACATTGATAAATAAATAAATATAGTCTATGCGGAATAAGATCGTACCTCGGCGGCCGATTTCTGCGCATGGGCGTGACTTTGTTCCACTGCGCTAGCATTACGAGCTTTCGTGGTGGCATCTATTTGTCGCGAACGAAAACTGGTCGCCGCCGAGGTACGATTTTATTCCGAATAGACTATAGTTTCGTACAGTGACGTAGCCAGGATTTTTGTTCGGGAGAGGCTGATCAATTTTTTACATAGCTGTGGTTTACTTAGATTCTTCTATAATTTGAGCATGCAGATGCTGAAGTTTTATTTTAGATTTTTATTCCTATAACCCTTAACATATATTGATTTAATATACTTGTATACTTAAAATACTTTGGATATTTTATTTTAATAGTTATATACAATAATTTTTAAACTTTCTTAAAATTTCAGTGGAGGGGGGGCTACAGCCTCCTCAGCCCCCCCTGGCAACATCACTGGTTTCATATTTATAAGCGTTCAAGATACAAATAAAGAGTAAGATTTTAATTTATTTTTAATTATTAAGTATTTTTTTTTTATTTATATTGTCAACAACTTTGGTTATCATTCAAAAGAATCCAAATTGTTGATAATAATGTAAACCAATAACTAAATATTTCAAATTATAATTTTTTGTTTTTTATTATTAATTGATTTTATGCTATTTTTATGTTTTTTTCTTTTTTGAGAATTATTCACATTTAAAAATTACTCAAAATATTTTTTTTTAGTAAAAGTGTTAGGTTACTTATTTGTTTTTTGAATTTCAACAAAGTAGGTATCAAAAATTATTTTAGTGAGAAGTACTTAATTTATCAGTGAATATCTTATATCGTAAAAACTTGATTTTAAAATGCTTTAAAAAAATATATGACTATTCAGTGTATTTTTACTTAAGGTATTAAAACATGCATACACGAAGAATTGTGTATTACATTTTTAAATATAGGATATAAAATGAAGTTTTTTTTTGTAAACTTCTAACTATTAAATTATTTGCTTCTTCATCAAAGTTTTGAATTTATGTATAATCTTGTAAAAATGTATTGTGATTAAATATTTCCAATATTTTTTATTGGTAAATGTATGCACGGAAAATAATATGTGTATGGTATACCTATATTCATTATGGTTAGGTATAACTTTCTAAATGCATAATTATACATTAAAATATTTTAATCTGTTAACCACATACTTATAAATAAGTATAGATTTCTGACCTTATGGTATTAACTTTTTTATAATATTATTATGTGTGTGTGTGAGTGTGTAGGCATGACAAGGGTATGGTTTATTAAGCAGTTTTTTATCGTCTAATATTAGTTAATTGTGTAGGTGTAATACACACTTCATCTTATTGTTTTTGATTTGAAAAAAACATTTAAATTGCAAATGAAATAAAAATTGTATAGTGTTTCCCATTCTGTACTTTTTCAACGTTATAGATACTTAGACGATTACATATTTATATAATTGCTTATGTATTCTTCTTTAACAATATACTTTAACTTAATTAAATTTATTGCTCAACATTGTATTAAATAAAATCAGTATTGCCAATAGGTTCAATAAGATTTAAGGTTTATTTTTATATAAATAATAAAATGTCCAAATGGGTTATTTGGTAGTGGAATTGCTGAAAGATTTGAAATTAATGTATTTGGGTGAAATATTTTAATAGTATGTTATATTTCATCATTGAATATTCTACAAAATTTGTTTTTACATTAAATTAATAATATAGTATTCATTTTTATAAAACAAATAAATGGGTTTATACTGAGAAAAAACTAACTTGATGTGGCTATAAAATTATTTAATTAATTATTAATTTCATATCATAAAAAAAATAACTCAACTTTAATTTTTCAAATCTTTAATGTACAGTCTTGGTTATATAGTATAGTATGGTAAACAATAGTCATGTACAAAATAAATAAAAGTAAAATATTATTATTTTCTTATAATTAATTAAGTAGGCAAGAATACAAAATTAAATTAATAATATTGTAAATAATAAAACTAAAATAGGAGTTTTTAAATAAATTAAAGTTGATTAACACAAAGGATAATATGTAATGCGGTATAGTATAGTATAATATAATACACGATATAAAATTTAAAAATAATAATAATAAATCTTTAACAATTTGCTTATAAATCATAATAAACTGACTTGAAGAGTTGGCAAGAATCAAAAATACTTTATGAGATTCAATACAATAAGAGATAGGAGTTTGGTTATTAATAAATGTTATTTTAAAATAAAAAAAATATTTAAACATCTATTATTTTTACTGAAAAATAATTAATCTTAAATAATGACTATTAAAGTTCCGTCTTAATATTTTGCATGGGAAGTTCAGGTTCACATTGACAGGATACTTGATTAGGACTGTTTGGACTACTTATTACTGCATCCATATTAGGACGGACTTCTACTGAGGTCAAAAATTTGCTATAATTCTAGAAAAAAAAAATAACAATTTATTAATAATAATAATTTTTACTACAATTAATAACATTTTTAATATTTATTACTACAATCTATACAAAATATAATTATAATTGATGAAATTAATGATGTTATTTCTAATCAATAAAATATAACACAATGTAAAATTTTAGACAGTTATGTTGACATTTTTTGTTATAAATTCCTTGAAAAATATTACACTATCACAATGTTTAATATAGTTTTTTTGGTAAATATTTTACCATAAAATAACAAATACAGTAGAATATTTTTAATTTAACACATATAGAACCACAGTAATGTCAGATTATTGTAAAAAATAGATATTATTTATACAGAAATCGGGTACAAATTAAAATTTATTTGTTCTCTTTATACTTTTGAATTATTATTAAGTTTTTAATTTTTATTGAAATTTCAACAATATTGTAGAAACATTTAATTTAATTTAATTATTAAAGTTTTAGTCCAAAAATAAAATTATAGTTGGATGTGGTAAAAATATACCAGATTACTGATAGTGCGGGAATATCAAAAATGTACTATGGTTGAAAATATTGAACTGTTTCACCATTCATTAGAGAAATTGTTTTACCAAAATATTACTTAATTTGGTGAATAACAAGAAAATTCTTATTATAAACTATACAGTCAATGCAAAACAAGTCATAGTTGAATAATATTTTTGAAGCTGAAATTAAAATATATGCTAATAAGAATTAGAAAATATGATCAAAATGGTTATTATATTAATTGCTTATATTATAATTAAGGTATGAACATTATTTGTGTTTTCACGTCTTTTTTAAAATGCTTATTTTAATTTTTTAAATTGTAAAGTTTTACGTAATCATAATTTGATTAAAAATTAAAACATCTTAAAAAAACTGATGTATAAACAAATATGTTTTTACCCTTAAGTTTGATAATTAATCAATTCACTCTAATATTTAAGCTAAATACATCAATAGTTCTATTAAATGTCAATTTGTTAGTCATGTTTAATAAAACAATATAGGTATAATATTCTCTTAAATTTACTTGAAATAACAGTAAGTAATATCCCAATATGTTATGAGGTGCTAAGTGTTCTCTTGCATATTTTTGGCCATTTAATGATATTTTTCTCGCAGTCTTGTCATCACTCATCATAATATCTATCAGATTTAACAAATCATCTAAATGTCTTTTTACTGGTACGTAATGAACCCATGGTAACAGTTCTTTATAAAAATGTTCATAGTACTCAGATTCTTGTTTGAAAACCAACGAATCACCCACTAATAGATATGGAAACCGATAAGCAGCAACAGTACCATCAATATTTAATAGATATTTGTACTAGAAAATAAAAATAAAAAAAATAATGATATAACTAGAATCATTTAATAGTTTAATATAATAAGTAATTTTAATAATACATCAAAGAATTTAAAGAAAGAAATAGGCTTCTTTCCTGGACCATATTTTTCTTTCAAATCTTTATAAAAGAAAAAGTTTGTTATCGAAGCATTCAGAATGTCTTCATTGTTTTTACTAAGTTCTACTAGATTTAACCTATGTTTACTAGAATCACGACCCATCCAAAAACCTTTTTCAATTTTTTGTGACCATGGTTTTTCAATATTTCCTTGAACTGATAACATATCTAAGGTTACCCTAGAAATTGAAAAACACATTTTTATATTAACAAATACAATAATAATAATAATAAAAAAAAAAAATGATTAAAAACAAGATTATTTACCTTCCCATGTTTTCAAGTGCTGATTCTGTAATATCATATGTAGGCATCACAATATCAACAGAATAATTTGATCCACACCAAGAAAATAAAGGAAATAGTTCTTTAGGTGATGATAAAGGCCAGTCTCCCAAATTTACAAAAAATTCTAAATCTGGTAAAAATACCTATAAATAATTGATTTCAAAAGACAATTAACTTCAATTGAAAAGGTAACTAAAAAATAGTAGATATAAAATTCAATTGAGGAAAATTAAAATAGAATAATTGAAGGCATTTACAACACAGTATTGCTATAATAGTTTTCAGCAAAAGTGGCCCTCGATGTTGCTGCGATTGGTGGATGTTATTACGCAGGGTTTACTTAACAGGCGTAAACAAAGTGCAGAAAATTTAAATTATCTATTCATTTGTGTATATTATAAAATTAATTAAATACCATTATTTAAGTGTCAATGTGGAAAACTACTATTTTTCTGAAATAGTGTTACTAGTTGCTAGGCTACTATTGCTGAAAACTACTTTAAGTCATCTTAAATACAGTGATGTGTTCTGTAAAAAAAAAATAATTTTTAATCAAATTGTCTATAATGATTGTAGGAAATGTGTAATTGAAATTAAATTAAGCGCATTCTTATAATGATCTATTAAAAATATTTAAGTTTACTAATGATAAAACTAATGTTTCTAAAATTTAATACAGAGCTTCTTTCAAGTGCTTTTGTATAATGCCTTTAAATATGAATGAGGATATTTGTATTAAGAAATGATCATGAATAAGTAATCATAATTTTGAAGACATATATTATACAAGGTAAAGAAAAATTTTTGCATCAAGAATTTATTTGTTTTAAATTATGTAATTTTTTTTTTTTTTTGTTTTTAATTTTGTATTATACAATCTGTAAATATATTATTTTACAATGAGCATAAGTGTTGAAAAAATAGAAATAGAAAAAAAAAATAAAATAAAAGGAACTGATGACTTGAGCGAAGGATCCATCCAGCAATGGAACTTCTTGAAATTGTGAATGGGTTTTATTCAGTCAGGAGATCCCAACACCATTTGCGCTTTAAACATCTTCCAGGGTCACCTGGGATGCTGAGAGTGGATAAGTTTGAGATTAGAGGATTGCGGTGGTTGGAGAGATTTGAATGGAATCGTTTATACAGAGTTTTGGCTACATGCTGTACTGTTGGAATAGAGAGGTCATTATGGAGTGTATCGTTTGAGACATAGAAGGGTGCTTTGGTAATTTGTCGAAGGCATTTAGATTGGAATGTTTGAATTTTCTTTATATTTGATGGTTTGGCCGAACCTCAAAGTTGTATACCATACGACCATATGGGTTTTAGTAGTAGTTTATTTAGGAGTATTTTGTTGGTCAGATTGATGTGTTTAGATGTTAGAAGGAGACGTAGTTGACGGGATCGGTTATTCAGTGTGATACGTTTGGTGTGGATGTGGTGAGCCCAGGTCAGTCGACGGTCCAAGTGGAGGCCGAGATATCGGACATTTTGTGTGGGTGGATTGGGTAGGTTGTTAAGGGTTATGGTAGGGCAGTTCCTTAGTTCCTTAGTTCCTTAGGTCTTAAAGTGAAAGTGCAGTGGGTGGATTTTGACTCGTTTATCTTGATTCCCTAATCTTTGTACCAGGTTTGGAGTAGATTTAAGTGGATTTGAACGAGGTTGGACGCTAATTCTGGTTCTGAGTTAAGCGCCATAATAGCTTTATCATAGGCAAAGTCACCTGTGATCGTATGGTTAGTTGTGGGTTGATCGAAAATGTATAGATTAAATAAGAGTAGGGCTGCTACGGCACCTTGGGGGACTCCAGCATGGATGGGATTTATTTCGGATAAGGCTGAACCAGAGCGCACAACAAAGTGTCTGTCTTCAAGGTATGACTTGAATAATAGGTAGTAGTAAGGTGGGAAGATGGATTTCAGTTTGAAAAGGAGGCCTTGGTGCCACACTTTATCAAAGGCCTGAGCCATGTCTAGAAATGCAGCAGTACATATTTGTTTTTTTTCTAGAGAGTATGAAATTACACTAATTAGTTACTTTTGAGTTAAAAAATAATGTAAGATTATTACTTTTGTATTTTGGTAACGATAAAAGGAATCTGCAAATATTTGTCTTTTAATTTTGTAGCTAATTAATTTACTCAATTATTTTTAAAAGTAATTAACCCAACATTGCTAGAATATAATTTTTTTTTCTTAATTTTGGTTTTTGTGTAGCTAAATAAAAATGCATATATTATAATATGTTTTAAATTAATTAAATAAAAACCTATTCATGATATTTATTTTAAATTATAAAATTCATGATGAAAATTATTTTACCTTTCGACTTAATGACAGTAATAAATTATCCATAAACATCTTAAATCCTGTGTATTCTCCATAGCATTTTCGGAATATCTGAAAATGTGATTTATAAAGGTATAAAAAATGTATTTAATGCATTTATTTTATCTTATCTAATATTTTTAATTTCATTAATTCTACTTTCTAAAAAGTACTTACTAAATTATTCTTTACAACATAATGACAAACACTTGTGCTGTGTGGGTGTTGACTATAAAATTTAGCCATTTTCCCAAATACAGTTTTAAAATTTACATTCTTAAATTGATTGAGATCATTATTGATTTGTTCGATGTTAGTTCTGCATTTAGTATTTGATAACCATGTATCAATTGATACTTTTGAGCAATCACATTCGTCTGGATAAATTGGTCCTGAATTATACATTAATATAATTAAAGACATTTATGATTAATCAATATACATTAATATTTAATAAAAAAAAATACACAAGTTTGACATTGGTAAGCTATATTAAATTTAAATTACCTTGATCAAAATGATTCCAGTACTTTTTTAATGTTTTTTTATTTTCCACTAATATGCTGAATTCATAGCAAACTTCATACAATTTATATCGGACTATAAATGATGCATCTTTTCTATCCAATATATTTGTCCAAATGCGACAATTATTACCATTTTTTGTTTTACCACTTATTAGTACATTAAAGTCTGCAATATTAAATCTGAAATATTTTTAATAGCAATAATATTATATTATATAGGTTTATACTATTTTTTAAGTATAATAAAATATAATAAATTAATATATCCTCAATATCGAGCTTTTTGCTCTCAAGACTGCCATAAAATATTTCAATACTTAAAATTGAACTTGACTATGATTGATCTCAAAAGCTTAAATAGGTATCTCAATCTGTGTTAAATAATCTCCATAATATTAAGAAAAAAAACAATAATTTCTCATGTTTATCAAAATAAAAAAATCATTGTATTTGGAATACATAGTATATATTTCATTTAATAAAACAAGATGTACTCTTCTATAAATTAATTCATAATTCTAAGTAGATTCATAAATGTTTTGGGCTAACTAAGTAGTAAACAAAATTATAAATAAAGTATTTTTAAGATAAAGTTTTAACTTGGGATGACTTGGTACAGTTTTGAGAGGAAACCATTCCTTTAAAGTCCCCTTCTCCAATTTTTGTCAAATATGTTCTTTTGCCCATTATATGGCTAATATTAGTAATAATATTATTAATATTAAATAACAAAGCTTAATGAATACTTAATTTGTTATGTTATTATTTAAAGTAAATTGGTATTTAACTTAGGTAAGATTTCATGTAAAATTACTTACTTTTCCTGGTCATACTGAACATAAAAGTAACGAGCTGGCAAAACAATTAATGGATTAAGACCTGGTCCCCAAATTGATGTGTCGGCAGAATGTAATCCATAAAATTTGGAAACGGCATATATAAGTATCAATGTAATACTACTGAAGGTACACATAGTGATGTTTTAGAGGAGCTGAATGGACCACCTCCCACACATAATGGATTGACAACAAATTGATTGAAGAAGTGTGTAGTGTTTAATTACCTACAGACAACAATTCAGTGGCCACTGTTGCTTGCTTGATAGACTCAGTTGTTCATCAGTTTTATATATTAATTTTTCTGTTTTTATCTTTGCGATTTAAATGATAACAGTATCAGCCGGTTGTGATAACGGAATCGGAGTAAAAAATTAATAGGTATAATATTATAATAAGCAATTTAGTATTAGAGGTACCTATTAAATATTAATTATTATTATTAACACTGTCTCGATGGTAGTTGATTTTTAATAGCCAAATATTTATATTTTCATAAAATTGTTGGCGTTCCGTATAAGCAACATTTTATTATTTTTGAAAAAATACTAATATAAGTTGGTAGGTACCTATTACTATAGATAGGTATCGAAAATGTCCAATTCTAAAGATGAGTTGAAGTGATGTTTTGAAATTTGTCCAAAACATATATTTAATAATACAGAGTTTGGTAAGTTATTCGTTGCAGTTATAAACATTAAGCACTACGCAGTTATCTAAAGAAGCTTTATTTAGTTTAATTAAATAATTTGAAAATGTTCATGATTTTGATGAATTTTGTGAACAAGTAAACTTTAAATGGTTAAATATAGGTACCTATATATATCTAAATCTAGCCGATGTATTTTTAATACTTTTAAATAATTATACCTAAATTATAATAAAAATTTATGACTTATGACTTATGGTAAAAATGTTTTATCGACATTTATAGAGAAATAACTAAAAAAAGTTTGAAAAGAATCAAAATATCCAAAAAATTATATCATATTGTAAGAAATGATACTATAAACATTTGGTGAAATTCTAAGGGTCTATGATTATTCAGTTCGAACAACAAAAATAAAAATATTATTAATGAACAATTTTGTGTTATTGATTGCATGGTTATCAAATTTAAATTCCAGACACTTCTAAAAATATGTTTGGATATATTGTGCTTAATTTTTTTTTTTTTTGTTTCACAATTTAATGATTTATAAAGACCCTTGTATTAGTTGTATTATAGTATATTTTTTATAGATATAATTATTATCATATCTAACCGAAAATAACATGATTGGTTAAATACCCTACACTAGCGAAAATAACCAAGTGGAATTGTTATAGGTACGTGTGAAAAATGTCTAAAAGGAAAGTCTCCCATCATTAATCCAAAGATTGGGCTATAATTTTTTTCAAATCATCATAAAAAACGATTAAAATTTCAATGTTTTTTACTTTTCAATACACTCTAAAACGACTAAGAATCATTCTCAAATATAAAAAAAAAAATACTCTAAAATCCTATTTTAAAAAAACAAAAAAGTCCAAAATTAGTTTTTTGTGAAAAATTCGCTGTTTTTTCAAATTATTTTTATTTTTACAATTGTTTTAAAAAAATACTGTGAAATTATTTATTTTTTCCACCCACCGTCCACAAATACCTATAAGATATTATTTACTATTCTCGAAGTCATTAAGATCAAAATATATTTTTATGGATTCAAAAGACAATAAAATAAAAAATTTTAAGAGAAACCACTTAAAAGTAAAATACATAATTTAATTATTATTTATTAATGGTAATTTTATGAAATATTAGTACTAAATTTTCACGTGCAACGTGGAAGTACCTATGTAACTTATATTTTCAAAAAAAAAAATATTCGAAATAGTGTTAAAAGAATGTAATAAATTAGATCATAATGTAATATAGTTTAATATGTATACGGTCCTATAATAATTTTAGTACATATCTATATTATAAATACTAAAAGTTACGTACATAGCCAAGTTGGAGGGGATTTGGATGCTGAAGTTTTCCTCTCTTGATATATTTCGAAGATTATTTTTCTTTTATATAATATGATTAGTATGAAATGTTTATATTTTTTTTGTGAATTCACCTTTATCACCTTTGCGTTTTGCGCTTTTGATATAGTGCGATAATGGACGTTTAAAATTACATATAGGTATATATTATATAAACACATAATATGAGTAAGTTAATATTAATTAATACATTACTTAAATATCATATAATAATTTATAAGTGCCCTTTGTATTGTGTATATAAGTGCCATTGTATAATAATTAGATAAAGTTGACATTTACTAGTTAAATATTAGTATATTTTTACCTACCTATTATAGTTCCTGCATTGTTCACTTTAGATAGGTACAAAAATTCATAATTATATAAGCAATTTTTAATCAGATTGCTTAATGTATAAAAACAATAAACAGATTATTCAAAATGTCATAATAATAATAAAGGTATTTTGATATTTTGGTGTCACATACTATATAGCTCAACAGATAATATGCTGTCACTATGTAGATATAATGCAGTTAATATAGACGTTAACTGTTGTCCAGTCACACTATTATATTTCCAATGGTCTATAATCTGTTTTGTATACAAACCTCAATCCGCAAAATAACAATTTCAAAAGATACTCAGGTAATTACTGAACAGCTAAAACTTTAGTAGGTTATATAATAGGTACTCAATTATAATAATTCGTACTGATTAATGATATAACATACTCATATTATATACATAATTCAATTTTGTTTGTTAATAGATTATAGTTTTATAATGAGTTTATTTAATTTCATAATGCTTATGTATTGTATATGTTATATTAAAATAAATTTGTATATTATACATATCAGACATATTTAAAAATTTTCTTTTTAATTTTACTTGTAATTTAATAAGGATACTTATCTTCATAATTAAACAAGCAAAAATCATCTTTAATTTTTCTATAATTCATTTTTATTCAAGTAAAATGTGTATTTTTCTTTTAATCGTGAATAAAAAATTTACCAGATAATGTCTTGTATAATATGCAGTATATACTAAAAGTTAAGCCATTTTAAATTTTTCTATAATATATATATCGTATAATAAAAATAAAACAAATTGTAAAAATAAATGCATTAAACAAAATATAGTAAATAATAATTGGTATAAAGTGGTAAGTATCTATATTATAATATATATAATTAATATTAATATATATAATATGTATTTATTAGTGTTGACCAACGGTACATTTTTAATTATCGATATCGATATTGATTTGTATATATTTATAATTATTTGTGTATTAATTACTTATTATTATTATTATGAAGTTTCTTCTTCAAGCAGTTTTTCCATCAACGTTTCTTTGAAATATATCACAGTATATCATGAATAACTATCTAGTAGATATAAAAGTAATAAAAAGGTATATAAAAATATAAATTCGTCAACTTTATTCATGTTTCGATATCGCGATATTCTTGATAATTATTTTTTGATATCGATATCGAAATTATCAAGAAAATACTCACGATATTGATATCGTTGCCCAACACTAATATATTTATAGCCTTATTGGTATTGAAAATTATTAATAATTTTTTTTCCAAAAATATGTTCAGTTTAAAATGCCAGTAACCAAAAATCACTTAAAAGATGATTTATTAGCGACCGGAAAACCAAAACCATCGACAATAAATGCTAACGAATGTTGTAGTAAAATGATTTATAACGAAAACGACCCTGTAGCTGCAGATCTGAAAACGAGTGAAGGTCCATCAGTTCCTCTGCGAATAGAAGATAATGTTTTATTGAGAAGCATGACGGCCAATCGAGGAATGATATACGTAAGTGCTATCATTACTGTTGTATTTTTCTAGTTACCTAATGGTTACTAAAATTAAACACTAATAAAAAATATCATTATGTAAAAATGTACAATAAAAAATAAATAAATATCATGCCTAGATTTTTACTTGACGTTTCTAAAGTAAAAAAGCGTTTTAAAAATTAAGGTACCTACATTATATATATCTATACGACTATACATCTTAGTCATCTTTAGGGACCGGATTTATATGCACAAAATATCTTCAAAATATGCTTTAAAAATGCTGTAATATGCTACAAAATACGCACTAAAAATTGAATCGAAAATATTTTATTTGAAGTTATGTAAACAAATAAATAAAAAGGATTTAAAAGTATAAAAAGTATTTCGTCATCTTCGCCATTTAACATTCTTTATCCTCAATATATTAGCCCATATTAATAAAAAATTAAAACAAAAATTGATCTGCATTAATATATTATATATATTTATTATTTTGCATATGAGTATATAATCGTAATTTTAGCAATAATAACTGGTCGTAATTTTATCGATATTATGTGGCTGTGAACGTAAAAATACAATGAAAAACAAATATATGTGCTGTAATTAATAATATGCACTATAAAACTACTAATATGCATTAAATATGCATTTAATAAGTAAAATGAGTTGTAATATGCAAAATACAATTAGTGTTTTTTTAATAAGAATAATCTTAATTTTATTCCAATACATATATGCATTTGCATATAAATCCGGTCCCTAGTCATCTTACATAAAACTATATAAGTAGGTAGCTACTAAGGATGTAGAATACCATCCATAAATATTATAATATTCAGTATTCACATTGACCATTTTAATTTTTAATGATATTCTTGAATATGTGTGGTTTGTAATTATTATATTTACTTATATTAAAACTAACTTTATTTAAATATTCCTTGGTTATTTATAATTTTAATTGTAGTTTGAACTTAATAAATAAAATTGGTAAGTACTAATAGGTACATATTATCATTTAATTTAAATTTTCGATTCAGTCACATAAAATAATAGATATTATTGTTGAAAAAAAAATGTGGATAGGTATATAGAAAGTAACCAAACTGCTGTACGCGCATGTTTAGTTAGAATTAACTTATCATTTATCAAGTGTATAATGTTAAGCATTAAGTAAATTAATATTATGGATGTATAAATGCGTTAAGTTTGAATTGATCATTTATTATAAGTTATAATGTTATAAATTTATAATAATTTATTATAATTCATTTTTTTCTATTGGGTACTATTAGTCGAACGATTTATTAAAAAAAAACTGTATTTATATATTTTCAAGATTTTCCGGTTATAGTAAGAGGTAACCTACCTATGAAAAATGTTGTATTAAATCTTATTAAATCTAAGTTATGAATATTGAACATTTTATACATTTTCAACTATAAAATAACTCACAATTTTTTGTGATTTTAATGAATTTTAATTTAAATTACTTGTAAAAATTTTTTTCTAACATATTTAAAAATTTATTCTTGAATTACTACTAAAGTAACAACTGATGTGGGATTTTGAAGCTTTTGGGGGAGAAGCTTTAACCGATATTTTATAAAAAAATTTTTTTATTAAAACTTGTAAATCTTAATGCTTATAAATAATTTAAATTGAATCTAAATGTTTTGAAAACTTTATTGGAATTAATAATTTAGGTTAAAATGGATTATTTCAAGTTTCTATAGTTGATACACTTTGAGTTATATTAAACAAATTTAAATCGTTTGATGAGAAATCGTTATTTTATGGTGAATAAAGTTTTTAAAAATTTAAACTACAGATGCTTATAATAAATATTTGTGCACTTACAATATAATTAAATTAAACATTTTCATAATGAAAACTTACACGGAACTTCGTATTAAATTTTTTAATTTGATGTTTGAGTATTAAACATATTATACGTTTTATGAATTCTTTGTAAATTTTCGTGATTTTGAGAAGTTTTTTCTTGATTCTAAATTTAAACTATCATAAAACATTATTATAAACTTAAGCCCGACTTTTTTTTTTGTTTCTATTATTAAATATTTATGAAGAACTTTGTATTAAATTTATGATAGATCATACTTTTTGTTATTAACTGTTATACACCAAAAGCTAAAAAAAAGGTTAGGTTAGCTGGAAATGTGAAAAACGCTCTTTTGAATAGTAGATGTTAAATAGATCACTGTTTTAATGGATGTAAACAATTTGGATTCAATGATATACTACCTATCATTGTATACAAAAATCGATTCTTGGCGGAGACAGATCATCAGTCTACATGACCAAGTTATGTACTTCATGGTAGTTTTTTTGATATTGCAGCTATTAATAAAAAATTTATTCTACTAAAAGTATTATGTTCGGTTAATTTAATGTTTGCTAAAAGTATATTGTATTTATTATATTTTATCGAAAATAATTGAAAAAAAAAAAATCAAACATTTCTTTTGTCTTTTAATGGGTTTAAAAAAGTCAAAATATTTTTAAAATTTTATCATGTATAGAAGAAAATAAAAAATAAATTTTTCAAGTATTTACGGTTATCCATTTTTAAATTACGAAATCGATTGAGGAGAAATAGTTGTTTAGAGGCGAATATCCAATTTTAAAAATATTTGAGCTATAAAAGCTTATAAATAATTGATATGAGTAATAAATAAAATTCAAGTATAATAATTCAAATCTATATAAAAAAAAATGTTTTATTTATTTCTAACTATAAAATTATTAGCGATTTTTTGTGATAATAAAATTATTAAATGTTTTTATAAAATATTGCGTGATAAAGTATTTTTGATATATTTTTATTAGTTTATGAAAAACGTTTGAGGAACTCCGTATTGTGCACACTATCAAGGTTTTTGGCTAAACATTTTTCATGAATTTTTAATATTAATCTTTTAAAAGTACAAATTAAATATAATTTTCTATCATAAACCATCATACAAATGAACATCTAAGCATTCGTGTACTAATACAAATTTTACCATGCGTATATATATGCTAGTATAAATATTTGGCAAAATTTCAAACATTTACGGTTATTTGTTTTTAAAATACAACAAAACCGATTTAGTCAAAAATTATTTTATTTAAAAATTCATATTTTCTCCTATTTTGTATTTTGAGTTTCCAAATTATTAAGAAATGTTCAGGGAAATTTTTACTTTTGCTTAAATCAAAATATATATTACTAATCTTTTGGCAGTAACTTGTTTATTATTATTTTTTTATGTGGTTGTATTTCAAATTAAAATTTTAAAAACAATTTTAATGTATATTATTATTTTTTCACATTATTAAACTTAATTTCTATTGCCCGAAATTGGTCATTTTTGTTGTCTATAAAATTAATAATACTGATATAACACATCATGGACCACAAAAGTAGGTAGTTTATAAAATTTAATATACTTATATACTAATTTAGACATTTTGATTATATTATAATAGTTTATTATTAATAATCAGTATTCAATAATATATAATATTCTATTCTATAAGAATTAGAAAATTTGGAAATCTGAGCACAACACACGATTTTAGTGTTCAATATATAGGAAAATGTTTATATTAACCAAAAATAATACAAAATATACTAATAAAAATGAGAAAAATAGATAAAATTAAAATATTTTAATTAGTTCAACGAAGTTCGAAAAATAGAAATAAAACAGAGTAATACTTAGGTAATTGCAATATTTAATAAATTAAAAATATTACTATCAGCATGCCTAATTTTATTTTTATATGTATCATTCTTAGTGTTATGCCACTTATGCAATATGATTATGAGTAGGGCTCGGATATAAATGCCCTTAAAAATACCAAAAAATGCATTTATGACCTAAAAATATCAAAAAATGTATTTATTATATCAACTCAAATTATTATGTAAAAAAAGTATATTATAAAAATTAAAAATTAAATTACATTAATTGCATTACACGCTTTTCAATAAGAGTTTCTTTAATGTTTTGAAACTTAAATTATCGATGGTAGTCTGCTAACAAGTTTTTATATACTGAAAATGCCTTGTCTAATTCATATTACGTATAGTACTATGTACCTATAGTACTTATGTTTTAATAAAGTCAACTTTTTAGTCAAAATACGAGAAATAAGTAAAAAATGTCCTAAATTATTAAAAATTGCATTAAAGTCAAAAAATGCCCCAAAAAATTTGTTTTTAGAACACGGGGTATACTTGAAATATATTTGTAGCTTGGAAAGCATCGTGTAAGACATTCGGAAAAAAATGCAAATGCATTGAAATTCGAGCCCTAGTTATGAATGATATGAGTATCAAAATGAGCAATGAACTTAAAATATTAAATTTGATTAAATATATAACATAATAGACAAAATAACCAATTATTATTTATTTTATTTGTTTTTAAACCGAACCACAATTATTAATCATATGTAACTTTTTCAACTATACTTTCTTGCTTTACACATGTAGTCAATACTCAATTTAATACACGTGCAGCAGTTACATCCTTGGCCACGAAAATTGGGAAATGTCCACAATATTTTATTAAATTTGTGAAGTATGTTGATTTTTAAAACAGTAATAATTTGATTCAAATATTCAATTTACGTTTCCCTTATGATTCTGGGCAGATACTTTGCATACGCTATACTTCCATATTATTTAACACTGTTATAATTATCATCTTCATTTTGGCCAAATTGATTGAAAATAGTGAACAGTTCTCAAAATTCGGAATTTCCAATTTACTCGTAACATCTACACACATATATATAAATTTATTTAATACATAATACAGCTTACTGATTATATTAATATTTTCTTATAAGTTATAATCTTATCTTATTAGGTATATATTTAATATTACTGAAAAATAAATAATTATACTATTATATGGATTTCTACTGTGTAGCAATTTAGCGTGTGGTATAGCAAACAATTCACAATGCCTTTGTCGTATTTAATTGGAATACCATTTGGTTGGCTGTTACTTGGCATATTTCAATATTTTGTGTGTATCGTCATTTTGGGCGACAGTTTCTTAGACCCATGGTATTTCACATGTGCTTGGATAGTGGAAGTAATTTCTACGTTCCCCGTTATTATGATTATTACAATCATTAAATGTTTGTACGTGCAAGTGGTAAGTGTGCAATATTTATTTATGCATTAAAATTATTATTTAGGTATTAAATATAATATTTTTTGTATTAAAGTTATAAAAATAATTAAATAATTAAAAACTTATGTGTTAATATAATATAAATTACCTATCTAAATATTATTTTGCAGTTTGAATGTTTATATATTTTCATTTTAATTAAGTAAATATTTTATGAGAACTCGTTTTTATAAAATTTAGGTAATGTATTCAATAACAGAGATAGGCACAAGCATTTTTCAGAAAAAAAATGTATTTGTTTAAGATTATTTTATTATAAATAAGGTTATAGGTTATAGATAAACAACTTATAATATATATATATATACAGAGTGATCCATTTAATATTAGATATTCATAATAAGAGTCTTTTATAAAGTGTATCACCCTTTTATATATAAAATATGTATTTAAAAAAAAAATTAATAAAATTTTGAACAATTTGGTAACTTGCCTTTATTTAGTTATTCATTACTTAGTCCACAAATTTATTTTTTAGTGTAAGATTTAAGAGTTTTATAATAACATTAAATAATTACTTAAATTTAAATAGGTAGTTAACTATAATATCTATAGAGAGTATAATATTATATTATTATCAATTTGTGTATATTTAAATATACAAATTATACATAGTAGTGGGTAGAAAATATTTTCAGATACCTAGTTTTTATCATTTTGGTTCAAAAAATAATTTATCTTTTGTTTGAAAGAAGTATTTAATATATCTAATTCAGTGTTAATATAATTTTTATTTTTTATTTTGATAACTTAAGTTTTAAGTTAAAGCCAAAAAACTATCAATTTCAAATATAATAGATAGGTATAGGCTCTTAATGAATAGTTAAAACTATCACGGCTATTATATAGTGAATTATTAGTAGGTATACCTATCTACCTACCTATAGAAGTTTATATTCATTTTTAAAATTCATTAATTGGTATTAAATTAAAATATCATAAACTACTCAATATTTCATAAAATTATTTTGATTTATAACAAGGCAACACAAATAAGTAAAAAAAAAAAAAATTAAATATTAATTATAATAATTGTTATTTTAGGAAATACTGGAACACTGTGAAAAAGTTACATGGATTGGTTTTACATTTTTACTTTTTCAAGGGTTGGCCATTTTAATACTTATGCTTCCAGTTAGCAATTTATTTAAACATATATTTGGCGATTTTTCACGACCGATAAATTTTTTTATTTATTGGATGATGTTAGCTCTTCCACACATCATGATTTTATGCTTTGCAACATTTGGTTGTTGTTCAAAAGTACATACAGTTAACACGCAATCAGTTGGAAATGTCATTAATCATTGAAGGATAATTTGGTATAATTATTTATAATGATATTATTATTCTATTGTTGATTTTTAGGTCTAAATTTTATTTAACTAATATTTTTGTCTTGATAAACACATTATTATATTACTAAGTATTTAATATTATATCATGATTTATGATAATATGATTTAAAATTTAATTAAAAATAAACTTATATGATTCCGATGATATTTAAGAAAAATAAGTTATACGTAAGTAGTAGCTAACTAAATAAAATTTTAACACCCAAGTACATATTTTAATTTTTTTATCGATAGTAAATACGAGCTATATATCCTTTCTCCCAAACAAAAAAAAATTCTGAAATATAGCCTTGTTGTTAGTGGATAATATACTTGAGTAGACCTACCTATTAATAATTAGTGTATTTAGTTTATGATTTTAAATTATAATGTAGCTAGGTGCCATGATTTTTTCAATATATATTTATAATTAAATTAAGTCATTATAGGTTAATTACAAGTAAATAATATTTGAATTGGTTAAAAAAAAAATGAAATTCATAAGATAATAAGTACCTACTAAAAATATATATTATACGTTGATACTTATTCTTATTCGTATATTAATTATTAAACAATATTTTTTTTATAATAAAAGACACAGATATATATCATAATGCAACGACATACCTATTATTTTTTCTACGTTTTTTCAGATGTTTAGATCGTTTTCACAACATTTCCGTTATGCTAATAATTGGAAAAAGCATAGAACTATGCAAGTGCATTTCGAAACAACTAATCAGTGGGAAGCAATAAATAATGATAATAATTATATTGAATATATTGAACTTCAAGAACTTAATTATCATCCAATATTTAGGACTAAATAATAATAATCTATAATTTCATATGTTAGACGTTAATCATATTTTTTAAAATTATAATAACGAACAAATAGGTATTTTTTATTTGTAATAATATTATGTTAAATAAAAATATAGTCAGTATTTAGTCATGTGTAGTACTAAATTAAAATTTACTACCTAGACAAATATGTAATATTCCTAGGTTTACAAAATTTTTTTTAACTTCAGACTTAATAACCTACTAATACATATACAGTAAACTCCATGGACTTAGGACTATTATCTTTAGTACATAACGCTGAATAATACAGAAACTACTGGTTTAAATTTAAATTTATATGTATTTATACTATATAATATGTATTATATACACATAGGTACTTTAAAATTTTAAAAAAAAGTCATCTACACTTGCAGTTTGAACAAATCACACTAAAAAGTTAGTTTTCATTAAAAAAAAGAAAAGAACGTAGATATCTTTAAATAGTTAAATTTCATACAAAAATGTAAGTAACTTGTACTTGAAAATATTATGGACTATAATTTATAGGTATATACAAATATATTTTGAATTAATAAATGAAAAAAAAAAATGGAAGTGAGCATGTTGATGAATCATTCTGCATAAAAGTGAACTATGTAGGTATACCTATCAATTATCATCGTAGGATATCATATATATAAATATATATATAAACATTTCTGTTTTAGATTTTGATCTGAGCGATTTTGCATCTTCACTGAATCATATCTATTCTTATATTATATAATTATACTTTTTTTTTTTTTTTTTTTATTATACAATAGGGTACTCCTAGCTTGCGCTATCTATACCTAGAGAGATGAGATAAAATACAATTTTGGCGTAATAAGTGCGATAAATAAATAATAATATAATTATACTGATATAGTAAGTACGTAGCCGGTATTTATATGACATATAACATAGGTATTTAATAAAATGTATTTAACCTATATATATAATATTATACATTATTCCGTGCATATATGGTTTACCTATCTCTTCAGTGAAGCACCGACACTCACCTAATATAATTGATTGAGTTTCATAAAATTGTATTTTTATAACGTTTGGTGGTAGGTATAATAATAATATATTAATTTAATATATCATTTAATAATATATAGGTAATGTAATTATGTACCTAAGTACTGGAATACCGGATTCGGGTGATTCAAATATGAAGTTGGTAGGTACCCACAGTCCACACTAATTAATATGAACTCCATGGTATTGTAATGAGGAATTTGGACAAATTATGTTTTTTATAACCTAATTGTTGGCTATTATAATATTTTAAATAAATAATAGCAAGACAATAAAATAAACATTATACTTACAAATAATATAAATAATTTGGTATAGGTATACGAGTGTACGACAACAATATTGCACGTGCGTCAACAATAACCAACAGACAATAATAAATATTAATATTACGTAATTTAAATCACGTAAAACATTGCGCAAAAAATTGTATAAAATTAAATTTATTAAAGTAAACACATTTACATACATTCTGTATATATTTTCATTTTGATAGATGTATTATATTAAATACATTACCTATACAAATGAGGAGATGTTTGGTGCCAAGGGAGACAATTAGTTCTCTAAAATCAAGTCTTCATCAAGTATAGGCGTCTTGTATTCAAATATAAGATTAATTACATTTTTGTAATCTGCTACCCAAAAATAAGACAATTAGTAATATAGTATTTAAAATAATTTTTTTTTTTTAATTCTATTTTTGTGATATTATATATTATATCTGGTTAGTAATATAATTATTACTTTAAATTATAGGTATAAGACTAAACATTCTTTTACCTAATAAAAAAAAAAAAAAGACTAAATAGAGCGTATGTCATTTAAAACTGTCCCTAAGTTATTTGGGGTCTGGGGAAAATTAAAAAGCTATGTGCCATACATAGGACGCTTTATTAATAATTAGGTATGCGATAGCAAAAACATCCACAGCAGAGATTAGTTAAATTTTAGTACATAAACTTTTTCAAACCTCAAAACATAACTAAGCTGATTTAAATTCATATACCTACTACATAATTACATTTTTGATAGCTTCTATTAGCAATGTATTATTTGTATTAAGCATAATTTTTAGGACTCGAACAGTTTGACTTGTAGCTCTGTTATTTTGTATTTAATATGAATCTAAAAAATAATTAATAATTCCATAATGCAAAACTATAACTCAATAAAGGTCGCGGTTACTATTCTATTTTTTGTAGGTACCTATTAATTTTTGTAAGGATAAACTTAAATGCCTATTATTTTTTAACTCTTTATTTCCAATCATAATTACTCCGTATAAAATTAATAGTTTATTGAAAATCTACATCATTATTAATAACAGTTTTATATTTAGATATGTATGGCAATAATAATGAATAAATGATTATGTACAACCTAGGTATCTAGAATAAAAAAAAAAATTTAAATGCGTTTATCTATGAAATAGAACAAATCAACAGTAGTTGTACAAAAAAAAAATTAGAATACCTACATAGATAGGTACGTCATTTTAAATATGGTTAAATTTAGCTATGACGTGCATATTTAAATATTTTCAACAATTATTTTTATCTACCAACTGATTCGACTATACGAGTTGGTGTTAAATTAATAGAAACTTATTTGTACGTTTTTTTTTCAAACATGGTCTATTAATATGGATGACTAAATATAATATCGACTATTTGAGCCTGTGTTATATACATATATATTTTTTTTATTATGTGTAATATTATACGTTAAAGCATTATACATAATATTATAAACTATAATAATATTTGTACAGCAATAATGGCGTGTAGTCGTATGAATTCGCGGCGGCGGTTTTGCGCAGTGCGTACTATTACACCATACATGTCAAGTTTAGAAATCGACGAGCAAAAAGTGTTTCGTGCGCAGCCGCTGGAACACATGAATATTATAATATGAGCAGTGCAAACCGACGAAATGGGATCGTAGCCGTAACAGCCGTTTTTTATTAATTTTTATTGACGTCATTGTTCTACGTTTTTCTAGAACATTCTATAACACGGCGGCGGAGGGCGGCCCTCTCCACTTTGCGCACACTCACGAACGCTGCCTCCCCACCGACGGCCGTTCGCCGACCGACGGCTCTTCTCATACTCACTCGATATGACGACATTTCATTTGCGCTTTGCACTCAATGCTGACGGATGCTCGAATGTCTACTACTCCTGCCGGAGTTCATAGAACAAATATGGCGGACGACGGTAAGCTCGATTTACACATCATTGTTTTACGATTGTGTTAGCGTCCATGTCGTGTAATAATATTATATTATTATAATTGACATGTTAACGACGTATTTCACACGGTTTATTATTCGTATTTTGCACACGCCTTACAGAGTTTTGTTACAGATGTTGCCGCCCAAATGCCGAAAAACACATTCGCCAGGTCACCGTCTGGTGCAAGCGCAGGGCACTGGCTTCGAATCCTTTGTTTTGCCACATTCGGCAGCTGACCAACGGACTTGATTTTCGCCACTTCGTAAGTATAATTTATTGTATTGTATTAAAATAATCATTTGTATTACAATAAGTTCTTTGATATAATAATTTAACAAATTTAACACTTACAATTATTATGGACCATGCTCACGTTCCACACACGCTTAAGTAATGTTTTTGTATTAAATGTAATCTTTAATTGTGTTATATCTTTACTTTATTTGAATGGGGTGGTTTTTTAAGTATTGATTACCTATTCTGAATTTCGTGTTCTCGAGTTTGCGCTACCGTACGCCGTACACAAAGGATCCGCCCCACCTCTACACCAACGTAGCTCGTCGAAAGTGGCAACGTTGTACGCCGTCACGAAATCGATTTCCCCTCCTCTTCTCCATCCATAGTCTAACGCCCATTTTAGAATTATTACTACGTGGTACCCGCTTTGTTTTTTCACGTTTATTATACAAGGTCAATACGGTCTGACAACGTTTTTAACATTTTAATACATTTCATATTTACGATATGATATTATGGTGATTTTTCATAGTGAAATCAGTCATGCCTAATGCTTTTTTAGAACAAGCTAACGCACACACTATTTCAACAACAATATTACGCTTTTAAATTTAGTTTTTATTTATTTAAATGTTTTTTAATATTAATTTACAAGGTTTTGAGCCCAATCCATAATAAAACAAGGTCATGACTCATAGTGTAACAAAAACACCATTCTAAACCATGATATATTTTAAGCGACCTTGTATTTTATTTCATTTTATTTGCCAACAGAATCAACTTAACAGTCTTTCGATTATTGCTTAATTGACCATTTAGTTTTTACTTTAGGTTTATTATTTGTTATATAATTATTAAAAGTCTAAGAACTTTTTAAAGTATATTAATTATTTTATATTGTATAGCTGTTGGACGTAACTTATTAAAATTGTTTGTTGCCTATTAGATATGTTAATAATGTAATACTATTAGATAGCAATCTATTATCAAAAGAATATATGGAAGTATACTAATTTTTTATTTTCAGAGCTATGCTTTTACAGTGAATCTCCTTTGAGTATTATGTAAATAAATATTTAAGCACGTATAAGAAAATTATATTTCTTTAAAACTTAATCAATAAATTAACCTACAAATTTACTCAACAAATTAAGCATAGAACATGAGTTTTCCACTCGTGATATAGTTATATAACTTCTTATTTTATAAAAAGTCAAATATTTTTTTTAATTTTAGAATTTCCTTAAATGATAGCATTGTTCTCACATCTTCTAAAAGTAAAATGTATATTACATATAAAGTTTATTTTAGAATTTAAATTGAATTAGGTAGATTTTTATACATAGTCTTGTCACCCAATAGGCTGTTTTCACATAAAATAATACATATATAGTTGTCTTTGGCGTCAATTTCTACTAGAAGCCTTACTAAATTGTATTTTTATAATTGTATAGACCACACCAATTTTCTCTTCAAAATTCATTTTAACAGCTTAAATCATTTTCTGAAATCATTTATGTAATTAAGAAAATAATATTTTTTTGTAGCTACTTTAAAGTACATATATTATATTTTAACAAATAAATTTATTTTACTATTTTCATCATGGCAATATTTTAATAGAGTAATAGAAATAATTTAATAGGTTATCTTAATTGGTATTCCATACAAAAGTAATTAGCACTTCCAGTATTTGTTTAAAAAAAAAAAAAAAAGAAAAGTTTTCTAGAAATGTTTGAGTTTAGGAGATAGGTAGTAATATAAATTTAATTGATATTTATTTATCTCTCTTTATTTTCAATCTATTTAATTTTTAAATTTCACAATATTTTTGTGAACTCAACTAAGTAGAATATCCCTACATTTAATAAGCCTAAGAGTTATTAAATATTTCTTTAAACAATTTATTGTATGTTTACTGGAATCAAGTTTTATTTATGTATTTAAAATATTAAATATTATTTTATAGTTTTTTTAAGATTATTATTAAATTAGTTAAATATTAAAACGCGTTTGTAAAAAAGGAAAATTCACCTGTTGTTTATTTATGTTTAGTATTAACACGTTAACCGGCATGTGATCGCCGGCAGTCATCTATAATTCTTAAATTTTATGTATTTATGACCGCTGGCGCCCATGTTTATCAATATTACCATGCTGTATGACCGTTGACAACTATAAATGAATTTAGTTTTATATTATTAACTTTTCTATGGTGCCACAATAATCCCCCAAAATAAAAGAACCGTGACAGCAGGAATTATTACAATTTTTTTAATATAGATACCTATAATATATTGTTTTTTATTTTAAATTTTTTTAAATATTTAGTGTATACAAATTTGGAAAACATAAAAAATATGTTTGGCGTATAACTAATACTTATTGAATGACAGCTGACGATTATATGGCGGTTAACGGGTTAATCTAGAACTGTAGCTGTAAAATCTTGATTTACCTGTTAAGTATAAATTTTATAGTGTCTAATTTAGAGATATTATTGGTAATAACTAATTAATAATTAACAATAAATTAAGTTAATAAAGTTTCAAAAAAGAAACATTTAAATTGTCTGTGCAGCCAAAGTTAAAGTATTACAATATTCGGAAGTTTAAAATTTATTAATTATTCTAATCAAATATATTTTGTTCACTTATTAATATTTCATGAGTAAAAAAAGGTTTTAGGTATCTTAGTGACCATAGTTGTTATGAAGTCTAACATTTATAAATTTTTAAGATTTGTTTAGTTAACATTTTCAATCATATTTAATGTAAAATGACTTAAAATTTGAACACGATAGTTACAAAATAACTAAAATTTTAGTTAACATTGTATCAATATTTTAAATCTAGGTGCTTGCATTAAATTATTATTACTATTATAAAACAAATTTATTCTAAATATAATTAGTTAATCCTCTACTTTCAGTATGAAATTTCAAATGGTATTGAAACCACAGAAATAAATATCAAAACTACAACTGTGATTGAAGATCAATAATGTTGAATATTTGATCACGTTAAATGTTGTTAGAGACAAAACATGCATCTTAAGGTAGTATTTTTGAAAAGTAAAATGATGTATACTTATAGTGTCTTATACTTATTTTCATAATTCAATTTTATTATGGTTCAATCAGCAAAAGCAAACTTGAAAGTTTACAAATTTAGTCTTTTTTTTTAATTCATGAAAGATCTTATGAAACACGAAATTAATATTTAACTTATTATATGTATAGATACATAAAGATTAAATTAAGTACTATGTATAGATTCATAACAAGTCATCTTAAATGTGTTGTTTGGTCCATATTGTTTGGCATATGACAAGTTGCATAAACATATATTAAATAATTTAATAAATTTATACGTTGTTAATTTAATAAAAAGTTATTCTCATTCACCAGCATTATTAAGTCATTAAATTATTGGTTATCAATCAATTAAATTAATGATCTTATTCCGAATCATTAAATTTTAGTCAGTTATTAAAACTTGTTAACACATCATCACTCTGCACTTTTGCCTGAATTCAAATAAAAATTGCTGAAGAGTTAATATAACTTTGATGAGTATTAAGCTTCAACAAACCTTGGTGTATCATGTAACAATTAATTTTTTATTAAATCCATTTTGCAGCCAAAATGGCTAAGTAGAACAATTTAATAGCTTAATTAAAAGTGTTCATTAATTAAATTTAAAGAATGGTGTTAAGCACTCCATTATTATTTTATCGTAATGTTTATGAAATTAAGTATTATTTATTACATAATAAGAGGTAGTGATTTTTTTGGTAGATGAATTTAAGTTTGAATTGAATAAGAACAATAAATGATGAATATGTTTTTTTAATGATAATTTATTAATTTTTTAGAATACAATTTACATTAATTTATTTTTATTTTTAAGTGTACACTATCCATTGTTAATTATTATTATTTTGATTAAAATGTATTTTTTTTCTTCTAAAGTAAACTTTATTTGTCTAATTTAAGTTTATTTTCTTACACAGGTAAAAGTTGATTATGTGTATACAATACGACAATGTTGTAAGTAAGGACTTTTTGCCTAATTTAAGGTAAGTACTACCATAACTTTATTTTTATATAAAATTTGGATTTTATAAGATACACTATTTTCAGTAAGGATAGAGGAGTGGGTTTTCATTACACAATTATTTGACCAATTGGATTGGTATATAGTATTGTGAATCCAACACCACGTCATTATTAATATTCAACCATCATTACACACATGTTGGAAAACTTTCTCCACCGTTAAACCCTGAGTTAGGTTGTTAATTCTAGGGTTTATTAGAAGGTTATTGTTTATTCATCGCTATAATTATTAGCCATGACCAGTGTTGAAGATTATACTACTTCAACGCTTAATTATTTATATATTGACTAAATCTTCACTTGTCAACGATTTCTAAGGTATTCTTATCAACAAACAACTTGTTTTAATGAAGAAACATTGTAAAATAATTTTATTTTTCGTTCTATGTGCATCTAATGTGTTCTAGATTTTCCAAACCTCATATATTAGAAGTTGGAGTTAATATATCTAATGGATGGTCCTTAAGATGAAGTGTTTAAAATTGGAAATATATTTAAACATTTAGATGCAATTGGATATTTTTGTATCTATTGCTTTGTGTTAGCAAAGAGGTTGGTGGAGTGACTGGTGATCAATCCCTAATCAACCCCATCTAAGTTGCTGTAGATTCAGACATGAAGTTAACTAGTGAAAACAAATTATACTACATACAAATTATTTTGGCTCTTTAGTGTAGAGCCCTATGGGCTTGAAGTTGTCAATTTTTTTTTATGTAACATTTTATTTTCAACACAATTTTAAATCTGTTTGCATAGTGTTTATTCAACACAAATGCCTTCGGTTACTTATCAAACCTATAAATGTATTTATTTTGAAAATAATAGAAAATAATTTGTTAACTAACAAACTTGAAAATAATCAATATACACATAACTATTTGACTTTATGCTATCTATGTATCAATATATCTACAATGTTGTTTAAAGGAATAATTTATACCTTAGTTCTGTTATCTACCTGTCTTCAATTCTAAAATAATATATACCTTGACATTTACATATTAACATTGTTGAAATAAATGTATTAATAGAAGTTAAAAGTTATTGATATGAGGAGCTGTATTGTAAACTTTGTATTTTTATATACATATGTTAGTACATCTTTATTTTTTTTTACATTAATATAATCAATTGTTTTATATAAATGTTATTATAAATTATTTATAGGTCGAATATATTTTAATATTTTTTGAAAACTTGGGTAATAAACAAATGGTTGTCTATATTTTATTAACATTAAATGTTTCTTATTTAAAATTCACGATTTGAAATTATTTCCTTATTATTTTAGAAAACCATGGGTAAATATATTTATCCTAATTTCATGTTGTATTTTTATTTAAATTTAATTGTTTAGCTTGAATAGAAAAAGTAATTATCATCTTGTATTAAAATAGTTGAATCTATTTTCATCAGGTAATCAAAACTGAAATCAAAAACTATTGTTTGGTTATTATTTTTTTTTTTTATTGATTTATTAATAAAGTAAAAATTCAGACATGCAAAATTATAAATAATATGTGTATCAATTAGTTTTAGACGAATGTTTGAGAAGGATTTTGTTAACAATTAAGAGTGTATTATATTTAAAGTATCTAACATGTAGAGTATGTGTACGCTTTTATATACATAAAAATGGTATACGTGTATTTTAACTAAAAATGGGTGATTATTAGGACTCTGTATACTATTAACTAGCAAAATTGTTAACTGAGGAATTTACTTGATATTTAAGTAGTACATTTAAATATAATTCTGATATTAAAATACACATTTTGTTTAAGTGCTTTAATTTAGAATATTGAAATGTTAATTATGACTGAGTTATTATATTTGGTTATGAAATAAATTTTTATGTATTTCAAGACATGTGTTCGCTAGTGAGATACAAAATTTACTCAATATAATTTGCTGATTATTAAATTAAATAAGTAAGAGTTTTAAAAATGTTATTTATAATATGCATGTTTATTATATAACATATACACGTATTAACTCAGAATAATCTAAGCTCATTCTATTTGTAATTTGGAAATATTTAAATTAGTTATATGTTGCTGTATATTAAGTTTTTGCTAATTAATCATAGTAAAGCGATGTTTTTGAGAGCAATTATTAATCTTGATAAACATATACTTGAAAGCTATTTTGATGCTAAGGTTTCTAATTCTTAAGTTTGTTTAAATAGGTTTTGGTATTTTTAAACAGTTAAGACAATTAACTGTTGTTAATGTTGACTTATATAATTATTTGTAATTATTTCCTTTTTAATATTTTTGATTGTTGTGTTTCATTTAAATCTCAAGTAAAAGTCTATGTAGTTTCATTTTTACAAACATGATTTACAATTAAAGGGAATATATTAATAAATATTATTAAATTTAGGTGTGTTATATATTTAAGTGTTTGTGTTCTTTTTATAGATTTTAGGCTCTTAATAGTTATAATTATTAACCTATAGTTGGTTCTTACTGAAGGAGAGATTACTGTTTTGAAATATGTATATACATGGCTAGTGACTTGACTTAATAACACATTAGCAACTAATGCCAACCACTATGTTTCACCAATTGGGTATTAAATTTGTTTTTTAGTCTTGTCATTTAAATGAAAAATTTCTTATATTTATATTGTTTTTGAAATAAAGTATGTTGATTATGGTAGATCAAGTTAAGTTCTTATTTAATTTAATTTGCTTAAAATAAAAATATTTACTCTCAACTCTTATATTATGTAAATATTTAAAATAAATGTAATAACTAATAACAATTAGCAATACATGACTAATTTTAATTTACCTCAACTTACAATATTATACCATTTAGAGCAATTTTATAATAATTTATTTTCTATTTAAAATATAGAGACTTACGTAACTTACTTACCTTTAGGTAACTAAGGGTTATTTTGATTAGTTTTCACATTATTCATAAATTATTATGTTTTTTCTAAGTTAAAGCTTTATTATTAAATAATTTATGTAGTTTAAATATTGAGTATAAAATAGGTATATTTGTTAGCCGAGAGTTCCTTTTAATAATCTAAGATGAGTCTTTATTTAAGTACAGATGACATACATGTGTTATTTATCTTTATAGTATAGTACTAATACACTATTTTGATGAGGTAGCAAATAAATTGTTTTACACATTCAAATCTAGTGAAAACTGATTGGTATGTTGTAAGACAAAGAATTATATTTACATACTCTTATTTTTATTGATTTTTTTAGGCAGGAAAATGGAACTTAAATCATTATATATGGTTTTAAGTTAAGATTTAAATAGTAGTCAATAGTAGCTATTAGCCTTAGAACCTACCTCATACACAATTGTTAAATTTTTACCATTTTAGTACTAAGTTGAATATAATATGTTAGTATTCATCTACTTAAATTTTGAATTATCATAGATTATTTTATAAGTGGGACTCAATAACAAAATACCTATTTTAACTCTATACCTACTTAATTTGTAACTTCTATACATGACTTAATTTAGTTGTGGAATGTTTTTCTGAAAAAACAGTAGTGATTTTAAAGTAATGATGACTCGTCACATTTTTAACTTTAAAAAAAATAAATAAATAATACATAACAATTTATTTAAATTTTAATGGGAACCAATAAATTATAAAACTTATGACATTTTTTCTTATCAAATTCAATGAATGTTGAATTTTAAAGAACAATATATTTGAAAAAAATAATTAAAATAATTTTAAAATTCTGGTAAAGTATGAAATAATATTTCCTAAATTCTTATTTGACTTTTATATTTTATTAACAGTCAACACAATAATTTTAGTTTTTATACATTTTATACTGAAGTTATTATAACAAACTTACATTTAGAATAACATTTTGATTTTTTTTTATAATATCTTTAATTTCAATAGCCTTATGAATATTATTATTTTTTTTTTTTGTAAATGAATAGTTGCTCAATTTATTTAAAAATGTATCTTAATTGTGTAATATAATTTAGGAAATGTCCAAAAGCTTATGATGTTATAACATGTTGTGAGTATCTCATAAACTATATTATCTACATTTAAAATCCCAAATAAAAAGAGATGGAGTACAGAAGTTGGTTCCATTAAGTCTTAGTAAGGAGCGTGAAAAAATCTCGTAACTTTTAATGTAGGTGCTGAGTAAAAATAATGTCTGTTACAAAAACAAAGTAAATACTCTAGTAAAAAACTATAATAAATAATCTAAAGTTTTGTTCTGAAAAAGATAAGAACACATAAAATAATCTATATAGGACTAGAAAAAAAATAAATTTGTGATATCCAATTGTTAGAGAATTTGTTAGTGCCTACTGCCTAGTGATTTTCATCTGTTATTTTTATTAGGGTTTTTATTATTTCTTTTCTTATTCTTTTATGTGTTAAATAACAAGTGCTTCAAAGTAATAAACTTTATTTCAAACTGTTAAAAAAACACATTTATTTACATTCTTGTTTATTAAATTATAATTTGTTGTAGTTCAATAAATTTATATGGTAGTTTAATTATTTTAGATTTGTTATAACTAAATATTGATAATTAAGTATAGCTAATTAAAAAAAATAAAAAAATAATACCTATATATTAATTAAAAACATTTTGTGTAATTGGACTCGGATAATTTAAGTTGTAATAATTTTATTTTGAATAAGTCAGTAAAAGAATTAAAAATAGGCGATAATATATTTATATAGAACATTTAAGTTTATACATTTCATACATGTCTCTTTTGTACACATTTGAGAGAAATATATTTTCTATTAATGTATAAATGTTTATGTATTACACAACTATTCAGCAAAATAAAACTACTGATAATTAATCTAATCATTAATATAACTTGTTTTGATGAAATATCGTAAAAATATATAAATCATTTTTTACTGATTAATTTAATTAATTAATAAAATTACATTTTGATTTTTTTTTAAATCTTTTGTATCTATAAAATTGTTAAAATACATGTTACAGTGATTTTTAAGGGATTCTAAACTATTTTTATGCATATCTAAACTTTTCCAATACTTAGTTGCTTGATACTTAATCATTTTAAAATTATGCTTTTTTAAAAGTTTGTTTAAACTGTTAAGTATTTATTTTACAAATAAATTGTGAAAGGCTTGAATAAATTAATTAATATTTATATATATAAATAAAAATAATAATATTAATAATATTTAAATAATAATAAAAAATAAAAATAAAAATAATAATAATAATTTTTATAATAAAAATAATAATATTAATAATATTTATTTATATATTTTATTTTTATATTTATATTTTTATCATATTAATTTATCTGTTATATAATGTTTATAAAAATGCTATTTTAAATTTGAAGATTATTTAAATTTCTATTTTAATACCTATTCAATTTTAAAATGTAGAGTATGTATCTACCTGGAAAAGATTATCATTTATGAAATACAGAATTATTACATTATAAATGTTATTATATGTTTAATATTTTGAATTTAAATTTGAAATGCATAATATCTATATTATATTGTATTTGATTTATTCTGTAATTGAAAATAATAGTATTATCATAGTACTTACCAAATTTTTAAATGGTATTTATGTTGCACCTTTAATTAATATAATGTACATTAATATACATCGTCACTTGTCACTTAAGTTTTATTAATTGAACTATAATATTAAATGTATTAAATATTGAATTAATCAAAGTTATAATAGTTTGATAACAAACTATTTTATTTGAGTATAGTTAAGTTTTATTGGAGTTAAATTGTATTAATGGAATTTATGTGTCATGATTATTACTTATTATAATTTTTAATCTTGGTTATAATATTAACATAATTTGGTATTTTTCTAAAAATTTGTTTGATATATTTTTTACTTCTTTTTATTAAATAAAATACTAATGTTACAAATATCTATAAAACTA